AGTATTTTATCGTACGTTTAACTCGTTATAACGCTTACCCTCATCATGTTTAAAGCTTCGGGCGAGTCGATAAGAACGCAATGAAGCACGTCCAACATTCCAGTGCCTTCGCTGGAAGCCTGCGATCCGAGTCGACTGAACAACCAGTTCAAACGATTGCTGTTAGCAAATTGCGCGCAGTTTGTGTGATTTCCTTTGATAATAGCTGCCAATAGTTGATACAGGTATCCTGATATTTGATCCCAAGCTTGACCACTCTCGTCTCCCGAAAGTGCCACGAGGAAACCTTGTGACGTAATCACGTTGATCTTGTCGATGGCTTCGAGTATCAAGTTCAATATACCCTCTTCTTGAAACAGGTCTTGACGATTTCTCAGAGCGCGGAATCTGTTTTGTTTCTCTTCGTGCTCTACATAAATCGTTAGAGTACGTCAATCTACTGTAATAATAGCGTTTCTGCGATCATAATAGTTTGCTTACCCATGTCGTCTTCGGGTTGAGCAAAATAATTAATCAAGTCTTCCAGACACATCACCATTTCGTTCAGATTCACATTTTGGAAGAACATAGACGCTCTTCTATCTACTTGCAGCGTCTCTAGGCCTCTAAAACATATTCGGTCCTTTTAGCGATCTGCCTGTCCACGTTAATTTATCATTCGGTTTGTAACGGCTCTGTACGCTTCCATCCAAGCCTCTACCATTTTTAATTGCATACTTTAATGTGGAGAAATTACAGTATCGATCGAACGATAGACACTCACGTGATGAACTGGGTGAACAGACTGCTGCACTTTCGTATCACACGAGCTGTTCGGGACTCTTCCTCTTGAGACCGAGAGAAGTCCAAACCATCGTCCATCTTTCCTTCTTCGTGAAGGACGGCTTGCTTCTCCTCCACTTTGCCCACACCCTTTTTCTTCGTCTCGTACGACTATGATATAAATCAAAGTCAATCAAAGTCAAGTTTAATCCACCTCAACGAATAATATATATGTACTTTGAGTGTAAATGCGTGTACGTACATCAAGATGAGTTATCTCAATAGTTAGGAGTTATGAGTGTAAAAAATAAAAAAGAGGATGCATATGAATTTGGAATTTATGTATGAATAGACTTCTTACGTTTAGTAAATATAGTAATAAACGTTTTAGTTTGGACATTTTATATGTTTCATATTTGTATATATTTTAAGATATATATAAAGATCAGCTTTTATAAATTATTAAACTGTCCTAAGAGTTTTGTGCAGATGTGCATCTTTACTTCTTCGTTTAAATGATTCACTTGCTTGAATATAAGAATCCTACGTATAAATTGTTATTAGTATATACCTTGTACGAGACCCAGAGGCAAGTAGTAGCGTGCTGCATGATAACAGTCGAGTCACCATACTTGATGATGGGTGTACCGATAACTTCGAGGTCCTTATCCTCGAGAATGATCTTTTGATCATCCTTCTCTTGCCGTAACCAAAACGTTGAAGTCTCGGTCGTTGCCTCGTTTCTTCAAACACAGAACATAATTATGTAACTTACGATTATTGGCACGATATCCCACTTGACCTTTGAACTTTTCTATTAATACCTATTAATAGATATCTACCTATCGACCAGGTACAGTTCGTTGTTTTCTTTGACACCAAGGTAACGTCCAGTTGTCAAGTGTCTGATCCTCATCGGATGCAGCCAGTTGATAAAACCACCGGCCCATTTAGTTCTTGCCAGCTCCAGTCTCCATAGAGATCGAGCTTGACTCATTACGCTGCCTCCCTCGTACACCACTATACTGTAAGCAATATATTAACTACTAGAAGCCATATCTAGCTTCAGCTGTGCTAATCGAATTATCTATAGAAACGATTATCTCTAGTGGAATGAACGCGACGATTTCGAAAATAAATAAATAACAAGTTGTAATTAACTTTCTCGAGAAGGATTTTTCTTCAAACAATGAATGCAACAATACGATGGCGTAAAGCGTAATTGGATTGTACATTATGAGATATTTAAAGATGCAAGTTAGAATGTATACTATATGCAAAAATATATAAAACGTTCGAAATATAGTATTTGTTATGATGCTCCGTGGATGAAACATATTTACGTTCAATCTACATCTTTTGTTCGGTTCTGTTTACAAAAATATGAACTTGCATAAAAATAGTTATTTTGCTGCATACAGTTTTGCTAGTCCAAAGGGATAGAGGAAGGGGTTGAATTTTTTAACACTTACTTTTGACTCGGTGCTGTGCCCCATGTTGACGGTATAGTGAGGCATTCGTCGCCACCGTGAAAAAATCGTAGAACGTCACCGCCAAATACGTAACCAACGTATTTCATCCGACTGATTCCAGTGCCGTAAGGTTGTACCGACCAGTGGGTTACGTGGAACGAGGCGTTAACCACGGATAAGTCGTTCTCTTTTGTTGTGTGCTAGATAAATGTGGACGAGATTAATTTTCAAGATAGTGCGCATTTTAATGAACTCACGGTGAGACAACAAGATATTTGTTTATTTGAGTGCGATGCTTAACAAATATCATTGTGAACGAAGCTATTGGGAATATTACTGGAAAATATTATTGTTTTCTGTTTGTGTTGCTTACCAAGTATCGCTCAGTGGCCACAGATACCAGAATAAGGTCATCACCGACCCGAACCTTCTCACCCTCTGACCTCTGCTTCGATGCTGGATGCACAGTCCACCAACACGCCTCACCTAAATGATCAATCGTATTACGTACACGTAAACACGACAGGAATTGATATTAGTTGATATTAATTCGATCGCGTTCCTTCGGCTAACCTTGAGAATGCTGTTGCAGACCTACGTCGAAAGCCAACTTGTCGTTGGACGAGCTGGTCGATAAACACGCCAAATACTGTAAACGAAACAGTCAGTTCTTGTGAAAATGACGATCGAACGATGATACGTTTATCAATTATCTGCGAAAAAAGATGCAATTGTTTACCATGTCGCTGTTTTGATGCCTCAGTAAAATAGCGTTGCCATACAATAACGTTCTGTGTCCAGATCCAGTGCCCTTTCCCTAAAATTACAGAACGATATTCTAGCGATTAGATGAAACATGTAGGAAGCCTGAGATACACGTAGGTCGAAAATGGATTAAAGAGAGAGAAAAAAAAGAAACATAAAATAAGTACACAAGCATACCGATAAGAGAAGGCCATAAATAATGATTGTTAACGAATGAATGTCAATGGCAGGCATGTATTCATGCTCGTACGATCGAAAAAATAAATGCGTAAATTGATTGTATGTTAATTGAATGTAAAAGAGAAAAGTACGCAGTCATAGGCGCGATCAGCATACAAGCACAACGTAACTGTGTCAGTATTTAAACATAAGATAGAAAGATGCATAATTGAAGAAAGAAATTTCAACGAGGAGGAAAGAAAAGAATAACCAAATGGAAGAGAAAAGAGAAAGAATGAAAAGATCGGTGCAAGCAAATGACGTTACTCACAAGCATGAACGTAAACGTAAACGTAAACGTAAACGTAAACGTAAACGGTGTCTTAGAGCGATACGGAAGGTATACTTACTAAATTTTCTTGCTGCTGCAAACAGAAACACAGATGTTGTAAATCTCATCCTTTCGCTTTGTCAATCGTGAATAGATAGAGAAAGAATAGTAGAAAGAAAAATTCGGTCAACACGCTTACAATGTCGGTCGATAGGTAAAAATGTTTTGCATGAAATTCTCGTTTTGCGGTGAGGTGCAACGCATCGACGTAACAAAAATTGGACATAAACATGGGACGTAAAAACAAATACGGACAAACGAAAGACAACTTGAGACGTGTTACGCGGCTACATGGACGCATGCCACACTTATTGGATAAGGAAACGTGCGGATGCATTCAGAAAATTATTTCGTTGTGTCTTATCGAGGAATAAAAAAGGTACGGAAAGAACAGCGATTCAAACGTAATTTAATTCGCAGTCTATCAAAAACAACGTGGATAGGTTCGCAAAATCGCAGGTATCTACTTTCTAAGTGCATCGTTCAGTTTAGTTGGTACAATTTTACAAAAATATGGATAAATGATATTGATTAATCTCTCCTGTATACGATACATGAGATCAAATGGATTTTATGGCCCACTCCTATGCAGGTGATTTAAGTACAGAGGTCATTCACGTCGACCAATCGATTTACGCACGATGCAGAGGAGAGTCTTGTTTATCGTACGGATTAAACATACTGCAACTATTTGTTGTCACAGTTACCGAACAAAAAGTAGATACGGCGAATATATATGACGAGAACGCCTGCACAGGAAAACGAAAAAATATCACGGTGTGGAGGATTAGAAAATTAGAAAAGAAACAGTTGCTTCGACAACGTAACGTTCGAACGATCGTGTCAGTGACACACGAGGATCATCGTACGATGAAGGATGATAAAGAAGTGGTACGTTACCGTCTCGGAACCGGCGGCGGTTACCAATTCCTGCAGAGCTCTCACCGACAGAGCTTGTTCTATTACGAATACGCATTGCGACAGGTCAGGTGGTATGTTCTGCAATTGTAAATAAAATGGTCAATATTAAATTTCTACATTTATTTGGCTCAACTTTGTCAGCAATCGTAACGAAATACAACAATCGAAATAATTAAAAATTCTACCTTGTCTGCGATATTCTCGAGGAAACAGTGTCGATTACCAAATCCCTCAGCTGCGAGGCAAACCCTTTCACCAGTTGCGGTACAGGACAGACATACCATGTCCTCCTACAATTTCGATTCATCGTTGAATTCAATTTTTCTTTTATCATTTTTCGTCTAATTATCCGAAACACGAAACAGTACTAGCAAACGCTGATCTGTTTTTAATTTCCATGGCATCGTGTACATACTATAATATATACAATGATGTTATATACATTTTGATGATATTTCGTTGCAATAATGTAATTTTCGAAATTCTCAGTTTTCGAAATAACCAATATATAGTACTAACAAACGCCGATCTGTCTTTAATTCCCGTAGCAACTGTTATATAATAGAAACTTTGATAATTCTTTTGAAATAACGCAGTCTTCGAAATGTTCATTTATTTAATAAATATATAAAAAATGGTAACGTAGTTAGAGAAAGAGGTGTTGTGTTTAAAAAATGATTCATTGATGCATTAGAAACACGAGAACCAACGACGACCTTTGCGAAACGCTAAAATATGATGTGAGCCAAACGGCAGATGTTACGCACAGTGCCAGAACCAATTTGGACCGTCTCAGGAATGCTCGATGCTGGTTTTATACAAGCATACTGGGAAACGCTTCTCAAGACTTTCAAAGCGAATTGTCAGGGAAACGATTTCACTGTTTTTACTACGCAAGCCTTGCTTAAGCGTTACTTAAGAGGCAGGAGTGGTAGTATTCTTCGGTATAAGACAGTGGCTTCGACTGAGTCATATCTCACGCGAATGAGTTTTATCATGCAATTCCGCCAATGTACAACGCAATTCGGCGAAAATATACAGACAAGAATTTTCGAAGTAGTTCTAACTTGACTAAACAATCTGTACTATATATTTGAAATAAAACAGTGACGCGACACGGCGGTGCGCTTAGGATTGCATTCTTTAACAACAGTATTGAAATTATCGACGATTAAAATATAATACTTCTGCTGAGGAACTTGAAAACAGAAATATATGAAGATATATAATGCAAACTTTTATCCATATATTTTACGACAAATCATTCAAATACTCAAAATTTATCGTTGCAAATGTAGAAAATTTCTACGGCAAGGTATACGAACTGGTCATATCGAATACTTTGATAATTTTGAAGTAAATATAGCGATAGTATTTTTAAAGCGGCAGATTACGGTCGTGGACGGATTTAGAGTTTCGAACGGATGTGAATGATCGATTCTAATTCGCCCGTGCGTTTCAAATTAGCGTCTTGGAGCATATTCGACGGCCCGTGGAAACTTTTTACGCTCGATAACGCAATTAAACAGTCGCTCTTTATCACTGCGATCGACGACCAATGGTGCAATATGCTAACGCAATTATTTCTATCGTCAACGACGACCTGTCATGGCGCGTCGTATCGCTCGCAAAAATTCCGTGTTGTTCCTCCATATAAAATTCGTACGTGCGACGTCAAGAGTAACGGCAGTTCTGCTTCGTTACTTTACATATTTTTCACGCAGATAAAAGGAGCACGCATATCCAAACGCAACGCGTACGACACGAACGCCGTCATGGCGTATTATAAGAAAAACGTGTTCGAGGGTGAATTAACATAACGTGTTACCGGGTTATACGAAAAGGCACGCAAGTCTCATCTGGCCGTCGAGTATATTTGCGATTCAGGCCTGCCAACACCTTTGCAAATTTGTCTAACGACAACGTTGATGGCGTTTCGCATTTTAATTATTATTTTAGCTGTTCGTTAGCAATTTCTGATAAAATCTAAGGATCACCGATGGCTGATTACAAGTTTCAATCGTGATTTCTCGTGGTATTTCATTCGAATATTGCTGCGCGAATAATTAATAGACAAACATCTTTGCAAATTTATTTAATGAGAATATCGACGATGTTCTCTGCCTCAATTTCTATTTCGATTGTTCGTTGAATAATTTCCGGTAGAATCAATAAATTACGGACAACAATATAGGAATTTTGGTCGCTTACGATCTATGTATAATCACGACTTTTCTCGGTGTTCTATTCAATTATGGAGAATAAAGCAATCGAACACGGATAATGAATCAAATGAACCAATTATTTCCGCTCTCCGCGACATCAACCGCGATCGAACCTGTAACGTGTTGCAAGCGCGGGTCAAGGATTGGTTTATATTTTAGTGTTCAACAATTGGGCGCGATTTTATTCTAACGTGTAATAAATGTATATCAAATCCATTTATGACATCGTACTAAGAATCGTACTTCAATCGTATAGGTATAATTTCACCGTTTAAAAGAAACAAACGTTTCGATTCGAACGATTACGTCGTTAATTGCCGATCGATATCTTCATTGTATAGCGAGGTGCTTTCAGCACTTTCCAAACTACTCGTATCGGCTACTTGGCCCGTGGTTGTGTACGAAACCGACGAGCAATTGTTACGAATCGTTAATGATACGTTCTTTGCGTTCTCGTACGCAAGCACTCGCTGAAACGAAGCACGTTATTAACTCGGACGGTCGCTTTTCGACGTGGAATCTTTAATGAAAAGATACCTACACAAGCTGTATTGATCATACGGAACAATGCAACGTCGATTGCTAAAATTAACTGTCACGACGCTCTTAAAGAAGAGAGTTGACAGTCTAGAAGTGGCTCGTCCGCTAGACGCACGGCATATTTAAACGGTCTAATTTAGTATTAATTTTAATTAGCCAGCATCGTCTATTTGTCGCCACTCGTGCCGTTAGCGACGAGTGAATGTAAGCGAATCGTAAAAGTGTGCACGATAATTTTGAGGGGCGCTCTACGATGCCAATAGCTGTTGACTTAATTAATGATCATTACATACAAGCCAGCGGATCGTGCGCGATAACATGACTTTTTTTTAGCCATCTCTATATTTCTCGAGACATCTCAACATTCTCGAACGTTTTCATTGGACGGATACCGCCAAAGATAACATCCATGCGATTCTACGTACGTCCGATATATTTTCGTGAAATTACGTTAAACGATTTATACCAGTTTCTGAAATTGAAAACGGTGCAAGGAAGAGAAAGAAAAGAGAGAAAACACTGGAGAATGAAATTACGCTCCTATTTCCGTCCTTTCTCGAAGCGGGGTAAAATTGATTTACGTCGGACTCGTTCTCGTGCCAAGCAAGGCTAGCGATAATTTCGAAAAGATTATGTATATTTGTCTTCGTTAAACTGGATGAACGAATGCGTCGTTATAAATTTCGTTTAATCGCATTAATCGGCTCTCGATAAAGTAAACGGGACGTGAAACGATGAGACGATGGTTTTACTGGGATTAATAACAAAGATAGAAATTATCGATTTGCGTGTCGATGATAAACGAAACGTTCGGTTATAATCAGCTCCATCGTATTAATGCTCGATTCACGTATAACACTATCGATTCTTCTGTTCCTATCTAAGCGAATCTAGCCGATGAAAGCTTCAAATGTTTTCAACCGTTTGGACATTTCAGGTTTCGGCCACACATAATCAAATTTTCAAGTAAAGCTTAATAATAACGGCACAGCAATAGAACATGGATCGACCATTCGATTATGAAAATCCTAATGACAACAGGTGAGACACGTTCGATCCTATAAACTAGGCTAGAATCGTGTTTAAAATCATTTATCTCTGAATCGACACGATCGTTCCTCTAAAACGAGGTTGGCTTTCCTATAACTAGATCGGTCTCGATTAAATTTCGTCGTGAATCCAACGATAAACTTGTTTCTCGCACGATTTCCTAATCAACGAATCGGCAATCCCATATAGTTGAACTCAACTTCAAAGGATCAAAGAAATATTAAATATATTATTTTCTCGTTTGAGACAATCGATTTGTGACACGTCGCACACCAGCCAAAAACATATGACAACCATATAACGTTGCATGCCCTTAAACATTTTCTTTCTTTCTTCTTTTTTTTTTTTTTTTATTTAGCCGATACATATTTACTAAAATGCAGTATATTTTATCAGTGAAAAACGTGAAATTCGGTGGCGATCGATAACATTGTTTCTCTTCGAATAAATATATCCGGTTATGCTTCCCAGTCACGAACGCCACTTACACTCGTTTAACACTTTGGATGGGGATATGCGATATCGTGTAATTTCATTAGCACGTAATTTCCTTCGATTCGTTTAATCAAACGCATCTCGTACCTTGGAAACACGACAAAGAAAAGTAATTAGTGTCGGTTATAGCGGTCCATGTTTCAAAAGACCTCTGGTTTAAGGTATTTCTTCGTGGCATAGTAATTTCCTTGGAGACCTTGGAACTTGGACGACCACTTTTACGGATGCGCGATTCTTCAAAGATTCCCCCGTGCAACTTCTGGGTCACGAGTAGTTTCCACGAACGATCCTCTTAACGATATTTCGAATTAAAAGCAATTCTCAACGCTATTTTACGAATTAGATGTTATTTGGTCTTTTTTTTGAGGCAAAACATTTTAGGTTCGTAACGGGGTAAGCGTTCTCACTAGTAAACGATATTCGCGACATGGAAGATAGTTCGCGAACAACGCTTGCAAGATATTCGCAAACATTTCACGATCGCTTTATGAACACTTTACGATTTTCGTGCGAATATTACTCGTAATAAACTCATGAATAGTTCTTTAAAGCTACAAAAATGTCTCATGTACCAATCGTGATCGATAGGAGCTTCGACGTAGACCGAGGATTTTCATGCTTTTCATAAATAAATATATCCCAGTTCACCACAACTCAGTAACAATAAGATCGATATATCTTGCATGTAGAACTATCTTTGGATAATAAAGGCTTTATGGTATATATCACTGATCGAAAACCGCCGATACAGGCGTTTCAGAGAATTATGTTTCATGAACATATTCGCCAACTCCTAAAGATTTAAAGGCAGCAATTTCAACGTTGTTCGTTCTCTTGATAGAAATGTAACGCAACAGACTGTTCATCAAGAACCGAATCCAGCCGTGGATAACCCAGTTGTCGAAAGGGGAAGTAGAAGAGGATGTCGCAGGCGTTCCCGAAGAAGAAGAAGGAAGTCCAAATGCGTCTGCAAGCCTCGTAGAAGGCTGATTCTATCGTCTAATCCTTTCATCATCTTCTATTTGGAAATGTACTTCAAAACGCCTGGGAAACGCGTGACGACAGTGGCTCGCGAGGCTGGTAAAAAGTGGTGTTCCATGTCGGAAAGTTCAAAGCGAAAGTACTACAAGCTCGCAGAAAGGGTGAGGCGACGATGCTCCTCGCGGCGGAGGAGATAGCTTGCTATACGATGCACGAAGTGTCTGATTTACTTCGTATCCGTGATATCATTCTGATGATAGGATAAAAGAATACCCGGAAGAAAGCTTGAACGCTCTCACGTAACAAAGTGACGCGTATTCCAAAGCAAGAAACGGCCGTTTGAAACGCGAAACGCGTGCAACCTGCAGAAGTCGTATTATCGTAAAATCGAGGCATCGTATCGAAATTCGAATCATGGAATTCGTGTTCGAAAAACGAGATCGAGCGTATATACATTCACACTGAAACATACTTTGTACTTTGTGGAACGAATGTACAGGTTTTTTTATACGTAGAAAAGGCCAGAACGTTGCGCAACGACGGCGTGTTGCAGAAAATGGAAAAGGCAAATAACAGAGGAAGGGAGAAACACGGAGGAAGAAAAAAAAAATCGATGGACACGCGTGTCGGTGTTGTTGGTCGGCGATATTCCCCGATAAGAGGACCGCGTGCATCAGAGAGATATATTTTTACTAAAGGCGGGTATTAAAGAGTCGAGCATCGAGCGCGTGCAGCTTACGGAAGCTCAAGGCTGTAGCTACCCTCTCGGTCACTATGTTACTGCCTGATCCTTGCGGGTTGAACGAGGTCAAGGTCGTTCGACACGAGAACTTTAAGTGCTTCCACGATTCATTGAATTCCTCCCCCCTCCCCCCTGTGCTCGTCCTTTGCAACGGAAAATCGCGATTTTATGCAAGACAACAGCACCGTAAACACCGCTCACACCGCGAATGCTAACTTTAAACGCCTTTTAAGCGGATTTACCCGACGTCACCTACTCGCTTGCCATCTAATTGCGTTCGAGCCTGAACGATATCCGACCTTCTACGATGTCGCGTTCTTTCTTCGCCGAGTCCAATCCTTCAATAACATCGCGCGCTTTTCGACCGCTCCCACGTGATGATCCGAGCTAGTCGAAGACTCTTCTGCGCGCGACTTTTACGTGAAAATATCGCGTAATCGTTTAATGTCCATCGAACGTTTCTCTCGTTGGATCAGCGTTTGCAGGGTACCAAACTATAATACAACAAAAAAGAAAAAAAAAGAAAAAAAAACGTTCCTTTGATAATAAAGGTCCATGTCACGCTCAACTGTTAAATTGCTCTTTGGAATCGTAAGATAAATCGCTAGAAAAATTTTCCTATTGCGTTATCAATTTTTAATGTAGTAACGGATAAACATTTGACTCACCGTACGGAGGAAGGATACGTCATCCTGCTCGGAGCCACCCTCGCTGTCAGCCATCCCGTCGGTACGTTTTCACGTAGCCTGACGCCGAGCTCAGTTCACCTCTCCCTCGCGTTATTTTTCTCGGTCGTGGTCTGGCCTGGTTCTCCGCGACGCACGTCCACCGTCTCCAGCCTCGTAGTCAATAGGGTGCGGATGAACGGTCACACGCGGTCACAATTCGACATGGTTCGCCTTTCCGGTGGCACACACACGGCTGCCGGTGCGGAACGTTTACGCGCTGGCCGACGATGTCCACCAACACCACCAGCACGGTGTCGACGACGTCCTAACCTCCGATAGCGTACCAATGATCAGCCACTACTGGCCGGAGAGTGGCTCGCGTGAACCTCGGCAACCCCTGCGCAAGCGCCCGTTTCCTTCAATCAAATTCCGCATGCTCGAAATTCCGACGTAATGAAAACGATACCCCGTATACACCACCCCTTGTTGCTGTTTTTCTTTTATGTCAGGACAGTCTGCTCATTTCGGTGATTTAAGTGGGTTAAAAGGGGCTAGTGGTTTGGGAATTCCCTGTATCTCCAGCAATCTTGATCGACTCGATAGATTTCACGAATTTATCGAGTTCCGGAATCTTGGAAGTTTAGAGACATGGAATGTTTCAGACGTCCTTGGGATGGGAAAGATCGCGAAATATTTTTGAAATTCATTAGCAATTTACCGGAAGGTTTGACTGGGTTTACAATTGATACAGCGAATGCACGAATCGTGTCTAAGCTGCAAGATCCTTCGTATTTCGTCGAAAATATTAATTAGGTTACCCTGTTACTCGAAAAGAAGCCAGAAGTAGGGGAAATCGTATTGCGTCTTACGCACTGATTTAAACGATCAAAGTTGGGAAGAAAGCGCAGAAGGTAGAAGTTGGCTGAGCGAGAAGGGGAGGCTGCCTGGATCTTACCGCGTTTAATTGAATTGGGAAAGTAGAGAAGTAATTATCGTGCCCTAGAACATTTCTACCTGGTGCATTTTGAAACTAGATACACACATTATTATTTATTATTATTATTTAGCAAATATCGTAATGCATCGCAGATCGTTTGGTCTATTATTTTTCCAATGAATCATCCACGCGCTATTAATCTTCGCTTATCATTTCTATACACGATCACTACTAATTGCGGCGTTGATTACGGTAGCGTTGCTATCATTGTTGTTAACGGTATTATCGGTTTTACTATTTACGTAATTGTAGTGACGATGCGTAAACGTGCGTCGATTAAACGGAGAAAACTTCCATCAACGAAGTCCGTATATTTAGATATAAATCCAACGGGTGACGGGTTTAAGTAAAAATAGTTTAGAGCAACTGTTCCACCTCCTCCCTTCCCCCCGTATTACTTCCGGTACAATTTAAGGTATAACAATCTGACGTCTCACTTGGAACAAATTCCTTTGCCATTGCACTCTTCCATTCTAATAACCGCGTCAAATTTATAAACCAACATACACACGCGACACGTAAGACCAAACATAAAATGGTTACGAATAATCCGTGGAAATCCAATTTGCGCACGAATCGGAATAAATCCAATTTCGTGTGAACCCTTCGATCAAGTTTGAAGCAGTTCTTCATCCTCGACCGATATTCGTTCCCGAATATCAATCGAACAAATCGAATTTAATTACTCGGTTAATTAAACGATATCATCGACGATAACAAACGCGATGGTAGACGACGAACAAACACACGCTTCGAATCGGACCTGTTTCATTCTCGCGTCTATTTCCAGCAACCGGCAGAAATAGATGCATTTACCACACGGTGAAACGTGCGAGGGATCCGTGTGAGCTTGGCCGTGCCTCTACTCGAATTAGAAATGGCAACATGTTAATCGAAGGTTAAGGATATCGCGACGATGTATGAGCGAGTCGCGAGACGCGATCCCGAGAGGAATCGTCGAGAGTGCGTACGAACGACCGCCGATAAATCAGCGACGCG